TGGTCAGGCATGGAGGCTGGAGTTTAAAGTCTTCCTCTGTCCCTGGAGGTGTGACCTGGCCATCCACCCGCACACGTATGTGTGTCAGGGTGGGCTTCTGCATGCTTGTGTGCACAGCTGGGACCTGTGGCCCTGCAGAGGGTTGGTGTGTTTGTGGCTTTGGTCTAGTGTCACCCATCCACTCTTGCGGCAAGGGCTTTTCAGGGTGATAGAGCATTGCTTGTTCCTCGTGAGAGGAAGCTCCTGACCTGATTTTTGTGAAGAGATGGTGTGAAATGTCATATTTGCTGCAGCGAGTAGCAGAGAGCAGGGATAAAAGCATGGAGTAAACTGTGTTTGAGAACAAGCTAATCCATTGCTGGCTGCCTGAAAAGGGAGAGCTGCTGGATCTGCTCCCTGGACAGTGCTTTCCAGCTTTTCCCACCCTCCCCAAACCTGATGTACAAACTGAGCTAACCAAAGCACACTCCTCCCCTGAACTCCTCTGAGGCTGTGTGTTTGCATCATTTCAGTCCTCTCCCTGCTAGGTGCTGTGCGCCAGCCGTGAAATGCCAGTGAATGTGTGGTGACTGCAGGCATGCTGGTGGTCAGACCTCACCATACCCTGCCTGTGCACAGCCTTCCAGCAGTGCTCCCTGCCCCAGCATGCCTCCTGCTTGCTTGGTGGAGGGCAACTGCAGCACATCCTGGCCTCCCTTTGGTATCCCTCTGCTTTCCCAGAGAATTTCACAGTACTTGTTTGAGCCTTGGTAGACAGGGTGAGTTCAACAGACTGAAGTTAGAAAACAGAGGCTTTGACATTTTGGTGGTCCTTGTCTCCAGACCCTTGGTGCTGCTCCTGGGGAGGAGAGGTGGGTTGGCTGCTGTGGCAGTGTGGGACCAGGAGACAGCATGATGGTAGAAGCAGTGTGTCTGCTGGAGGAGTCTCCAAACATGGGTCTGTGTTTCTCCACTGGGGCTGAGGGTGGCTTTGCTGTGGGCTGCATGAGGTGCAGCTGACAGAGTGCAGAATAGCACGTGAATTCTCAGCAAGACATGTGGAGAGGAGGGTTGGTATGAGAAAGGCTTTGCAGATGCGTTTTTTACAGGAGACAGAAGGCAAAACTAGGCAGGAGGCTGTGATGCTGGACCAGTGGTGCTGAAAGGCAGGGAGTGTGCAGGGGAAACAGAGGGAGCAGGAGCAGGGCATTTGATGAAGAAGCTCAGAAACAGAGTGGGCTTTCAATGCAGTCTGTGTGTGCTCTGGCTGAGGAGACAGGCAAGAGGTATTTCCAAGCTGAGGTGCCCAGGCCATGTCTCACTGCACTGTTGGAGCAGTGATGTTGCCTCCAAGCCCAGCACTGACAGCTTGAGCACGTGTCACCAACTGCGATGGCTAATGCAGCCACAAGGTGTAAATGTCACTAATGAATAAATTGCCTCGTGCCTTGGAGAGGCTAATCCATCACGGCCAGAGACAGAGATCTGACAGGCTTGGCTATTTCAGGCATACCCTGTAGGGAGGAGGAACTCTTCATTCCTGAGCCGTCCCCTCCACCTAGGGAAGCCGATGCAGGACTTGGCTCTGCGCCACTCCCCAGCCTCATGAGCTCAGGCTTCATCCCTCTTCACTGAAACTGAAGGAAGAAGCAGGAAAGGATCTAGTTCATCCAAAAGTGCTCTGTCAGCAGGGTGGTGTGCGAGGCTAGCTGGTGAAGGAGGTTGGAGGGAATCTGCTGCACACAGGGCACAGGTGATATAGGAGCTGATGGGGTAAAGTGGTGGGTGACCAGTGATCAGGAGAGCTTGTGTCAGTTGTGTGCAGTGCAGGGCTGTGGTCTGCACTGTGTGTTTCAGACCAGTAGTGCTTGGCACAGTGTTTTACAAGTGTGCTGTTTCCTCCTCAATTCAGTTTCATAGTTTGCCTCTGTAGGAGGCAACCTGGAAATTCTCTGAGCCTCCCAAGCCCTGGACTATGCTGTCCCAGAGGCAGTGCACAGGATATCCATTTTCTCCCCTGCTATTGAACCCTGGCCACCAGCACCTTGGCTGACTGCAGAGGGGCAGCAGGTACCCAGCAGGCAGGGACAGAAGCTCAGCGTGGACAAATCCAGCTCCATGGGAGCAAAGGGAGACTGAACACAGCAACCATCTCCATGCACAGCCTCTGCCCATCACCGCAGCAGCCTGCTCCTCCTCTCCCAGTCAGTGCTGGAAATCAACCTGCCATCCTGTTTGCGACATATGCCAGTGTGACACCTTGCAAATCGATGCCTGTGTCGCTGTGAGCAGAAGCAGCCAAGCTTGGGAAGCTGGCCACCATCTCCTGCTGCCGTGTGCACTCTGTTCAGAGCAACAGAAGCCAGGCTCACCATCTGCTGTGGGAGTGAGCCAGCTGGGCACCCCTGTTCCAGCCCCATGGGGCGCCCACTGACATAGCCCAAGTGCAAGCCCTTGTGTCATTCCCTTTACCTTCTGGCCACCTCCATCCCTCCCCCATCTCTCTGGCACAGACCCGTGGCAGGGGTATGCACCCAGCTTGGCTGGGGTACCTCTGCTGCTGAGTGCTGCTCATGCTGTGTTGGTGGATGGTGGTGGTTCTGGAGGCCATTCCCTCCCCCTCAAAGGCTGAGGTACTCCTTGGGGATAGCTCTCATGGGAGAGCTAAAGGATCCATCCTGGCACTGCACTGTTCCTTTCCCAGCACCAACTAACCAGCTAGTTACCACTCTGCAAGGCAGTCCCACCCCATGGTAACTGGAGCTGACAAATGACCCACCAACAGGAGGAATACACTCAGACAATCTGCTGCTGTTGTCAGACCTTTCATTTTTACCAGTGTGTGTAGCATTTGAAATGGTTTCAAGCCCTGCAGACTGGCAGATAGTGGACTGTTGGTCTTGGGTGCAGGCAAGTGGTGCAGGCTGCTTGGTTTAGACTTTGCTCTTTGGCCAAGAGGTTGATGGGAGGGAGGGCAAAGGGTTCTCCAGGCAACAGCTATCTGTCCAGCCATTCCTGCATGTGGCAGCCCAGGAGTCCGTTTGGAGGGTGCTTAACAGTCTCAGCTGTTTGCAGGAAAAGGAGCAGCAAATACCCTAAAAAGCAAGTCTGCGGTTGTTCTGGTGATGACAGGTTTTCCCAAGCCCTTTGCTTTCCTTCCCTTGTCCTCACTGGCTCTGGCGGCCAATTCCTCCTCATGTGTCTGCTAAGCATGTCTGCAGGATCTCATTGCTGCCCTCACAGCATGAGCTTTCATTGCACAACTGGCTGACCAGCTGTAGCCCTGTCCTTGGAGCTACAGGCAGGCTTGCCCAAGACCAGGCCACCCCCATTAAGCCCCCACCCTCGCTGCTGGAGCTGTTCCTTCATCAGCCTAATGCTGATCTGGGTCTTTTCTGCTGTTTCTAAACATGAGTTCTCATCTCATTCAGATGTGTCATCCAGTGGAAATATTTTGTAAATGCAAATAAAAATAAAAAAAGTCTATTCAATACCTCGGTCTCGAGGATGGGAAAAAAGTAGTGGGAGATGCCCAGGTGGTGAGGTCTCACAGCTGCTGCCGCTGGTTAGGATTTCCTGTGGCTATAGGCCCCGAAGCATCCATCAATAGTTGGGAAGGGCAACACAAACTTGTGAGGGCTTGGGGCACCCCCTGTGCGACCACCACTGCCAGGGACAGCCTTGCACTCCATCCTTTCTGATTTATATGGGTGTGACAGGGCGCAGGTAAAGGTCCTGTCGCTCGGGGGCCAGTGGCACCGTGGGTGTCTGTATCCATCAGGCAGGGCAAGGCAGAAGCGGGTACGTGGTGAATAAATTCTTTTGTGAACACTGGGAAACAGTTTTTACTTTTCAACTCTGTCAATATGATCTAGCTCTGTCTGTCTCTCTATATATGTACAAACAGTATATCACAATGTTGCCTTTTTTGTTGGAAATATCAAAATACAAAGATTGTAAACCAAATCGGTGTAATAAAAGTTTCAGATGATTCACTGAGGTGGCTGCCAGCAGTGGGTCTGTGGGCATGGGTGCTGGGCAGGGCTGGAGGCATGTGAAGCCTTTTCATCGCTCAGAGAGCAGGAGGGGATGAAAGTCGGCCCACTCACTTAATTCCCTGATGATGTCTCCTGATCAAGACAGTTGAGTATGTGCCCTGCCCTGTCTTCAGGTGGCTGGAAGGAAGCTGCTCTGTTTTGCTCCAAGCCTAAGGAAGCTGTTCTGTTTTCAACCTTGTGGGCTGTGTGGGCCAGCAGTCCTGTAGGGACCCCTCTAACTTGAAGTTACACAAAACACAGGGGGTTTTTTTGGACAGGTTTGCACAGAAGAGCACTACCAGGTAAGGTAAGCATCTGGTTTGTAAGGAATTCACCTGTTTACAAAGCAGGCTAGCACTGATCAAAGGCACAACACCCCAAAGCAGGAAACCATGGTGGTGAGACCTCTCATTTACTGAATAATTTTGTTGTTTTACTTTTCACCACCCATATCAGTCTCCATACAGATTTTGCTATAAATACAAATACATTCTTGAGTGGAGCAATAGCCAGAAATAACTGCCAAGGAACTAGGAACAACATTCCCTCAATCCTTTATGCATCTCACATCCTCCTCAGCAAAACACTTAAAAAAGCTGCCTGCCCTGCAAGTTAGATCTGGACTAGACCATTTAGATGCTGAAGACTTTACCTTAGCTGCTTTACAGATGGAGCAATATTCAGATACCTGAACTAAGCTTCCTGCTGGGGCACATAAGAAATGCCACAGGAGGTGGGATTTAGTCTTGGGTGCAGTAAGAGAGGGGTCTAGAGGCAGATTGCTCTGTGATGCCACTACAGTCCCTTGATGTCTAATGTCTGTCCCCTATTAAGTCACAGGTTGGATGATGGGGGTCTGGGAAAGGCTGTGATAGTAGCGACACATTAAGTGTTTCTCAGAAATATGAATTAAACCAAGATTCTGAACTAAAATACCTCCCAACGCTGCACCTCCAAAGCTCATTGCTCTCTGGAGCATTTTATTCAGAGGGGTTTGGTGGTGGGGTGCTGCAGGGACCCCAGCCTTGCCACTTCCCGATTGGCCCACACAAGTTGGTGAATGAGGTACTCGGTCTCCTGGTCCACCTCTGCCTGGCGGAGGTCTAACTCAGTCAAAGCCTTGTTGCCCACCAGCCCTTCAAGCAGCTGTTTCCCACCACCCTGCAAAAGGATGAGAAGAGGTGGTTAAGGGAGGAGATCCAATAGAGAATTGTACTGCTCCTTTTCCCTCCCCAGGGCAGCTTCTGCTACTGGCAGTGGGAAATGGCAGTACCACTGCTACTGGCAGTGGGATGGTGCCAAAACTGACACAGGCCTTCACCCAAGGCCAAAATGTTGCTCACAGAAGAAGCTGGGGAAGGAGTATAACCTTATGTAGCTCTCAGAGATGTGACACATGCTAATGACTCCCTCTGGGTACCATGTCAGGAGTTCTCAAGCTCAGGCTGGCGATGATAACCTGAGAGGAGTCTCTGCTCCCCCCTGCCCCCCAGTCCCCAGCTCACTGCTGGCTGGGGACAAATGGCAGGGTGATTAGTGTGCTGCTCCTCATCCTGGCAGTGGTGAGAGCCCCAGTCCTGGCAGTTTCCTGCCTGGATGCCATTTCCCAGGTTGCATTGGCTTTCCTGAGGGGAACATCTCAGGCAACTGAAGTCCAGACTGCATGGGACAGAAAATACAATGTAGATAGCCTTGGGGAGGCAACTCACTCTGGGTGCTTTCCTCTGTTACCTGAAGCACTGTATTTAGGGATGTGACAATTTGAATTTTTTCCCCATAGCTATTCTTTTTCTGGTACCAAATACACCTCCTGCCCCATCTCCTCCATCCAGGTGGTTCCCTCATCCCAGCACCCTGCCTCTTAGCCCTCTTGCCAAAAAGGGCAGGGCAAAAAAGGGCTGGGCAGAAGTCTCCTTTTAATGGGTTACAGGGGTCAGAATTTGATGCACCTCTAGCAAAAAAACCCTTGTCCCCAAAGCTAATACCACCAGCCCACTTTTGGGCTGCTATGAAGCTTCACAAATGGGTAACAGGAGAGCTCATAAGAAGGAAGATGCTAAGCATAGAGACTATTATTTACTACACAAAAATCCTACTATCTTTTCCAACCTTTGCCCTCTTGTATCATTAAACTCAAATGGTTTTCCACATCCAGGACCATAAAACTCAGAACTCACAAAAGGTTTTCTGCCATGAAATCCTTTTAAACCCCTTGTCAAACACATTGCTGCCAATATTCCTGCCAGCAGGGACAGCTGGTCTTGCTGTCTCTTTATTTGACAGTGAGAATAATTGAGGCAGCACAGAAAGTTTAAAAGCCAGCATGATTGCTTTTGGCTGTCTAGTTTCAGATTTCTAAAGCTCTTTTTAATCAGCAGAAGAGAAGCGGTCTGGTTTGTGGGCATGTTGCATACTGCAGCTCTTAGGGATGTAGAAAGATCTGTGGATGCTCTTCTGTCTAGAAAATGTAAGCCTGTCTTTTAGGAGCCACTTACAAGCACCCAGACGTGACACTTCTGACCTCCCACACTGCTCCAGGGCTGCAGGGTGAGTTAAAGAAGCTCAGCAACCGAGCCAGTTTTCCAACAGTCTCCTCTGAGCGTGTGATGGACAGGAGAAATTCTGGAAGGGTGACACTATCTGTGTGCTGCTGAGTGACAGATGGCACAGCAGATCCAAAGCGCAGAGGATATGCATGAGGCCCTCACCTCATGCCACCTATCGTTATTAACTACTCTCACGTGTGTGAAGTGGCTCTGATTTTTCCCAGACATACTCCCTGGTTTTCATTTTCCTGGGAAGTTGGGGGGGAAATCCCTCTCTGCTCAAAAGCCCAAAGCCCTGAAGCCAGATTCAGCACTGTGAACAGAGCTAGATGTAACGACTGAGATAAATGCGTGTGCGTGCACAGAAGACATCCTTCTCCTTCCTGACTCTGCTGGAGTCTCTTCCCTGCTCGCAACTGATTGTTATCACAGCAAGATTGCAAAGTAACGGATGCATTTGCCTCTGGCTTCTAGGCAGGGCAGGCTCAGCATCTGCTTTGCAAGGCCACCAGACAGGCTCACAGGGTACAGGGAGAAGGAGGTTCTCTTACCAGTCCCAGGTGGTTACATGAGAAGTTGATGCCTTTCAGGGTGGTGTTCTGAGCCAGGACCTGGGAGAACAGCACAGTGGTTGGCTCTGACAGGCTATTACTTCCCAGGTGGATGAACTTCAGGGTGGTGTTGGTCAGCAGGGCACGGCCGATCACCTCCCCACCTTTGTCGCCCACACAGTTGAGGCGCAGATTCAGGGAGGTGAGGGTGGAGTTCTCAGTCAGGGCTTTAGCAAGAGCCTCAGCCCCCAGGTGACAGATCTGGTTATTACCCAGATCGAGGGTTTCTAATCTGCTGCGGTTGATTAGCTCGCCAAGAGCTTGTGCCCCCTTGTCCCTGATGAGATTGTGGGACAAGTTCAGCTCCACCAAGCAGGGGTGATCCAGCAAATTATGGACCAGCAGCCTGGTCTTGTCATCATCCACATTGCTTTGGGTCAGCTTTAAAACCTGTGGGGATAAACGGTAACTAAAACAGCCAGTGCTTTGGATTGAACTTTGTACAAGATCTTGAGGGAATTAATCCAATGGTCCACCACACCGGATTCATCTCCTTTCACTTCAGACATCTTAAGCCAGTAGGCTCGAGTAGTTGCTTTTATAGTGGGCAGATACTTCCAGGAGGCAGGGCATGCCACTGATGTCCCATGCCTATTCTAAACAGTTCGTCTCCTGGAAATGCCTGTTCCTCTCCTCTGACTGCAAGAGGTCGCTAACACAGGGGCTAAATTAAAGCAAGATAAAGCTGTCCCAATGTATGCAGCAAGTCAGAGCAGAACCCACCCCAGGTCACTGTCGAACACTGTCTGAATGAACACATGCACCAGTGCTAACCACGGTGTTCTCTGTGAAGGCCAGTGCATTACCAGGGCACCTTAACAGCCACAGGTGAGATCATTTCTCTTCTGGAAGCCAAGTAGACAAATATTTCCCAGAACACACCAGTCTGTGAGAAGAGTGTTCAGACAGCTCGCTCTGGCTACACTCTGGTTAGAAATGCCTAATGGGATTTTGAAGGGGTTGAGTATCTGCACTGCAGTTGCCACAGAACTGAAGATGCTGTTAATGCCCAGAAGGCAAACCCCTCATTACTCTAAGGCAAGTGTGAGTATTTCTCCATGCTCTTCTTGGGGGTCTTTGCTCCTCTGGGGCATGTTGACATCTATTTACTGAGCGTAACTACCAAAAGCTCCTTATGAAAAACTCTCTCTGTGCTTCTCCTCTCCTCCCTCCCAGAACTATGTGAGGAGTTAAAACAGGACTGCTGCTGTCCCTTGTGCTACAGGCAACATGTTTTGTGGGAGCAAGTATTTTTCACACTGACCGTCTGACTACCTGTTCTAACAAGGACATTGCAGAGCAAGATACTCAGCACTAGGCTAGTTAACATCTCTGCACTCTGCCAGACTCTGCAACTTGCAAAAGGAAGGGTGCTGCTAGCAAGCAAAACTGGTCCCTGCACTTCTACCCCACGCGATTTGAAGATCTAGCTGAGGAAGGAAGGTTCGGTTTGGGGTACATTACTTTCAAGCTGTGGCACAGCTTCACGGCAGCAGCCAGGTTGCAGCAGTCCTGGTGAGTGAAGTTAAAGAGGTTCCACTCAAAGTTCATGCCACAGTTCTTCAAGCCATAAGTGAGATGAAGTTCTTCAAGGTGAGGGAGAGCAGTAATGAGGACTCCCAGGTCGTAGTGATGCGTGGAGACCTCACCAAATTCAGAATCGCTCTCTGGACCTGATTGGCCATCTCTCTCCTCCTTTTGACCCACCTGCACAGGTGGAAGGAACTGATCAATCTCCAGTTTCCGCACATAGCCTTTGCAGAGTGGGATGAGCTCTAGGACCTGGTTGGGGTCTGTGATGTTAGGGATGAAACATTTCAGGATGTTCTCCAGGTGACGTTCAAAGAACATCCGTTTCCAGCTGTCTCCATAGCTGGAGATGTCACACACTTCCCAGCGCTCAATACAGCACCTCTTCCAGTATTCCTCATCATTTACTAGGTCGGCAGTCACAGCGAGTGGGAGGCCAGTGGAGAGCCCATCCAGCACCTTCCTCTGGTGCTCAGGCAGAAGACGGTCCAAAATAGGGTTTTCTGGAGGGCATAAAAAGGAGAGGTTGGTCTGGGCTGGAGGAACCTATGGTTCTGCCCAGGTACACAGCTGTGTGCCCATGCCTTCAGTTGCCAGAGGCTGGTGCATGAAACTAAGCTGGCGGAAAATGCATAAGATTCATCTCCTAAATTTCTGTGTAGGATTTCTAATTTTTGTAATAAAACTTTACCGTAATTTGGTATACTTTTGTAGTATTTGGGAACTGCATCAGACACTTAGCTCCCCAAGTTAATTTAGTTTGAATGCATATCACATTCAGAGCAGGACTTCTGCTCCCAAGAGAGCTAAATCAGCCTTACAGTGATGGGAGAGCTTGGCTTGCCATTTGCTGAACTTTCTCCTTTTGGGCTTCTAAGCATATTGAAGAACAATATTTGAGAACAACTGTCTGTGTGCTCTTCATGCAGGTCTTCATACCTATTTATCTTAACTCAGGTGTCTGTCTTACCCAAAACTGATTCCTGTTCCTTTCCACTGATACACACTCCTAGCTTTTAGGTCCACCTTGTTTAAATAAAAGTTCTGTCCCCTTTCTCCTCTCAGTCTCTTTCCCAATGCTCACCCTAAGTCTCAGCTGGCATCTGCCTGGTGAAGTTCTTCATGGTAAGAAATGCCAGAGAAAAACTATGTGTACTCACACCATGAATGTTTGGTGACATATACACAGTCATGTTGAGTAACAGAAATAATCAGTGGAGAGACCTATCTGCGCATGGGAAACCACATTTTGAGACACAAAGTAGGGTTAGCTTTGTATTTCCTCTGTTTTCTGTGGCACTTCCTTCCTAAGGACACCCAGACTTTTACCACAGCCCCTTCCTGGAGTCTGTTTTCCAGTGCCCTACAGCTGACACTGCAGTGACCCTGTCTGCAAAGTCCCATGACACAAGCAGAGGTGGGACACATATGGGCAGGACTGGGCTAGCTTCACTTGGACTCACTCAGGCCACAGCAGTGGGCAAGATGCATCCACACAGCTCAGGTAACAGCAGGAGGGTCCCCATGACACTGAGCACACTGTTTTTATGCACACACAACATAGGTCCAATCCATTTGGCATTAAACTGACTAATCAGGCTGATAGGACTGCAAGGGTGTCCCAGCTCAGACCCCCAAGTACCATCAGCTCCTGCCATAAGGCAGCACTGAGCTCCTCTGTAATGTCTTACAGTCCCAGTGTGGACATAGCCTTAGAGCTATCTTTGGTCTTTGCTGCCACTTCACTGAGTCAGCCAAAAAGACAGGTAGGTCCTTCTTTTCCCTCTCCCAGTCACTTCTCAGATGAGACATGCTTTTTCTGTTTTAATGTGTTTCATCACTCTACCTGCTTCAAAAGCACATTCCCTGCCTGAGGATATAACTTGTCACATCACCACCAAAAGCCATGGTGGAGGGCTGAGTCTGTGAGTACAATATGTGTCTGAGATGGTAGCTCCTCCAGGCAGGGAGCAACTCTCCATCTTTTTGTACAGCACTCAGTGTAACAGGGCTCCTCCTCGAGTGCTACCATAACCTATATATGAATCAAGAGAGGGAAACAGCAACTCCACAGTCCCAGCCATGGTTGAGGTAAGTGAGTCCAGAACAGCATGGATGGAAGAAGATATGATAGAACAAGGTCAGGGCAGAGCCACATCCTGGACAGCAGCCCAGAGGGCTACAGCCGTCCCTGGAGTGTACAAGCACATACTTAGAAACTAAACAGTTTGTTTAACTGGCTGCCCAAGGGGATATTTCTCCCCATCTGTTCCTTTGGCAGGGCTAGGTACCACACTCTGCCTTTCAGATGCATCTGCCTGCCTTGTTGGCCCTCTGCTCCCTGGGACTGATGCTTTTTCTCCACCACATGTCCCAGGGTAAACACACTTACTTTCAAAATTGTGAATGATGTGCTGGAGGCAGAGCTCAGTGAGGTGGGGAACAGTGGTTAGGGACCACTTGGGATCCTCAGTGATGCAGCGGCGTGCCTGAGATGGACATAGCGAGCCTGTGCTCCTGTCATCAGCTGCTGGCTTCTGCATCCTGATCAGGACCCACTTCTCCTTCAGGAGAAGTGAGGGGAAAATTACTTGAAAGTCACCACCACACTTTCCAGCTGGGCTGCCTGCAAAATAAAAAAAGGTAACTTTAGAAAGAGGCCAGTGATAAGAATGGTCTGCTCACACTGCTCTCCTGTAATGCACTTGGCCCCTGCCCTTTGCCTGCCTCCTCTGCTTTGGACTGGGAGCACTGCAACCAAACAACTATTACTCAGCCTTATCTTTTTACATTGCCCTGTACAAAGAGGTCTCTAGGCACCACATATAATAAGCCGATAATAACGTGGTGTTAATTCAGAGTGCTGTTGAAGAGGATGGACAGGAACTGATTGTTTGCTGTCTTTTCCAATAAAAGAGATAGGTGAAGCTGGCAGGAGCTGGGCTTAAAGCAAAGGAAAATGATGGTTCTTCACACAGACTGCAGTTGAACTGAGGAATTCTCTGCCACGGGGTGTTGTAGATGCTAAGAGTCTGTGCAGGTTCCAAGACAAGTCCATGGAAGGTAAACCCTTTAAGAATGACTAAATGCATGGAAATCATGGCTCAGTGTGAATTGAACACAGCTGGAGGTGGGGAGAGTGCTGGAGGAAAGAAGAAACTTGCATTGTTTTCCTACTCTTCTCTAGGTGTCTGCTTCTAGCCACTGTCAGAAATGGGTTGCTGGGCCAGCTATCCCCTGATTTCATCCAGTATGCCTGTTTTTATGACTCTTTAAAGACAAATGCTTTACAGATGAATACATTATTATTAATACAGTGTAGTTTTTCTTGCTTTTCTCAATTACTCTCCAGCTGAACTCCTTCCAAACATCCATTAACTGATGAGATGGGTCAGACCTGTTCAGACCACACTCAGCCTAAGCAGATATGAGCTAAAAGAACTAGCCTGAAGCAGGAGGAAGGATGCCCAGTCCTATTAGCTCTGCAAAGCTTTCCCAGACCAAAGTTTTCCATTTGCTATTTCCTCGTCCAACCTCAGAGCCAGTGCTCTCAGCCATCAGGATCCCACATGTATGCTTATTGCCTGGAAAGTCCTAATGTTTCTTTTACCAGCACTACCAGTCAGAAAGCGGCAGAGAAGATGCTAGGAAAGAATCTTTCACTTGAGTTCTGGGTTCAACAAGAGCATCCAGGCTTGGTGAGCATCTCCCAGGCTGTACAGACCCATGCTGACCATTAACTGAGGCTAACTGGACTTAACAGGGCTGCAGGACAGGGCTGAGCAGTTACAGACTGCTGAAAGAAGCATGAGGCAGGGTAGATAGCAATATCAGAGGTGAGGACATCTTCCTGCAAGACCGAGAGGATACCTGAGGGCAGCAGTGGCCTTGCAACACAGTGGAGTCTAAAGGATCCTGTGGAAAAATCCTGCATGCAAGATGAAGATAACTGCCATGTAGTACCTTTGGCCACCATATCCCTCAGCTGAAAGGTTGTTTGATCCCAAGCAGCTCCTCCTTTTTCAGGGGTGCGAGCCAGACAGTGATCCCTAGATGAAAGGTCTTAGGTCCTTCCCCTGCACAAGGCTGCTCCCTGCACCTCTGCTTTCCCGGCTGGTGCTGCCTTCACCAGCACCATCCGCTCTCTCCCTGAAAGCTTTGGAGCTGGCTTTGCTACTGTTCCTTCCTCTGCTCCTGCCCCTTCCAAAAGACATCTGAGGAACTGGCAAAAGGGAAGAGAGGAGATCCATGAAGTGCTGAGAACTAGAGGAGAGGAGCAAATGATTCATGCTGCAAATATGTCAGCAAAGGCTTCTTCAAATGCACTTGAAGCAGGCCCAAGAAGAGAGTAACTGCTTATGAGTAACAGTCAGGAAAGGGTTGGAGATGGCAGTGGCAGGGCATCCTCTGGCTTAAAGCAGGAGGATGAAGGGTGCCAAGGGCAGGGAAGCTGTATTTCCAGGGAGCACTGCTGTATGTATGGGTGAGAAAGGCACAGGCTGTAAAAAAAGGGAGCCTGGTCTGAGGAAGAGTGGATGTGGAAGAAGGAGGAATGAGTGATAGGCAGCTGTGAAGATGGACTGTGAGTCCTTTCTCTGCAAAGAGAAGGTGCTATGATGGCAGGCCACCTTTCAGGGGGAAGAGAAGACGCCTGATTCTCCACAGCACACTGACCCAGCTGAAACCCAGCTCTTGGTGCTTGATGGACTTCAACAGAAGGGCAAAGCATAGCTGGAAGGCAGTGAGGTGGCATCAATAGAAGAGAAGTGACGGGGGAAAAATATTTTCTCCTTGTTCAGTCCTTTGTCCTATTCAAAAAGCATCTGTATCACTCTGTCCTCCAGGCCAGTCACAGCTAATTGGAGCTTCTGATGGCTTTCCTGACCTTCTGGAAGCAATCACTAAAGGGCATGTGTTGGGGAGAGCCCGTGCAGCATTGGTGGCCTAGGATTATTTCCTGGCTGTGTTTCAGCAGATGATCTGATTGACAGTTTACTGATGACAGATTGGTTTTTGGAGGGCAGGTAACCCATGGCACATGCAGGACTGCTGAAGGGGCTCATGGAGACCAAGTGGAGAGACAGCTACCCTCAAGCAGAGCTGAAACCCAGCTCTAAGAACAGTGCAGCCCCTCCATGCATTGGATGAAGCTCTCTGAGTAAAGCTTATCTGCAGTGAGAGGTCAGCCATTGTGTGCTGCCCAGCTGTGGGACAGCCCCAATGTCAGGTAGCCCCAAAGGAGAGGCAGACAGCTTGAGGGGTCTGTGTCTGGGCTGCTGAGAAGGTTTCTCTCGACCTAAGCCCCAGAACAAGTCAGCTCAGCTCACTCTGCCATCCTCACTTGCCATTCACTATGAAGCCAACAAGAGCAAGGCTGGAAAGAGACTGAATCAACTTCATGCCTGTGGTACCAGGCCACCTGCAATACATCCATTCCCACCACCCCAGCATGGTGAGCACACCCAGCCGGGTGTGCTTACCCCCAGGGGAAGGGTCTCTTTCACTGCTCATGCCCTCTGACAGGGCTGCAGGAGTCTCACCCAGCCAAGACATTTCCCATAGCTGAGTTTGCTAAGCATGTACTAAAACCAGAGAAGCACTGTAAGTCACTACCAATAAGCCAAGTCAACAGTGTTACTGCATGCTCCTTTCCACCCACTCTACATACAAATCAGTCACCTATGCTAAAAGGGCTTTATTAAATGACATACAGTGAATGGGCTCATGTAGCAAACTCCCAGTTTTTGTCTATAACACTCAGGCTAGACTGAAAGGTAAATAATGCTAACACTTCTTAAAAATAAAAAAGATATCACACTTCCCTTCCCAGGAGGAAGCTGACAGAAGTCCACTCACACAGCTAACTTATGCTGCTACGAACATGCTTAACAAACCTTCTTCAGCTGAACCTGTTTTGATCTGGAAATGAAAGATTTTTGCTCTTTTGATTTACACCAAAGCCAAGAAAGACCAAAAAAGAAGAGCTGCATGGAAACAGGTGACTTTCAGCTGATGCCTCCTACCAGCATTACAGAGATCCAAGAAATGGAGCAACAGTAAACACTGGAGAGTTTGTAAGGACAGGAGAAATTCTTTCTCAGGGTGGTTTTGCCCCAGCCAAAATCTCATTCACACTGAAGCTCCATCTACCCGTTAATAGTGGAAGCTCTTACACCACTGCAACAGCACCCTGAAAATGCCAGCTATTCTGCAGGTGTCCTGACCTTTGTGCTGTTACCTGTAGTCCGGGCAAGTGATCCTGAGTGCTGGCTAACACAGCTGATCCCTCTGCCACCTGCGGGGACTTGCCACGCTCCCCTGCACTTCCAAAGGCTGGTGCTAAAGTTGCATTAGGTCAGCATATTGCAGGCTCATCAAGGGGCTGAGTCTCTGCAATGGGCTTTAAGTGAGTTAAGGAAAAAAAAAAAAAAAAGCAAAGCGTGTCAAATGTGAAATCTATTTAGCTTCAGATATAATGAAATTTGTCTGTAATGGGAGATTGGGCAGATTGAGGCCAGCTGGCCGTTTGGGAATATGGTTCATGTCACCACTGTAATCCAGACAGTGCATAGGGCCGACACTACGGTCCTGATCTCTGTCAGCATGACCCGGGAAGGGCCATTGCCCCGACGGGATGACAGAAACACGAAAGCCCTTTTGGAGCTGACCATAGCCCACCTCAGCCCCAGTCACTGTGCCCTGCCGCGCCAGCCCCGGGACACTGGGGAGGGGTCGCTTCCCCGAGGGGCAAGGAGAACGCTCGGCTAATGCTGAACACCG